ATACGGCGCGCCTCAGGCTAGCGAGAGATACCCCCTGAAGCTGAAGGATCTGCAGCAGCAGCAGCAGCAGCAGAAGCAGCAGCAGCAGCAGCAGCAGCAGCAACAGAAGCAGCAGCGGAGAATATGAGATTCACAATGCGGAGAAAACCAAAGAGATTGATTGTTTGTTTCAGCAGCAGCAGCAGCAGCAGCAGCAGCAGCAATGAACTCACCGCAGGGACAGAAGGGTGAGGGGGGGAGACACAGCCGCCCAGAGAAGAGCGGGAGGTAGCCGATGCTGGGGAGCCGCTGCAGACAGTGGAGCCCGCAGACTGCAGCACACCGTCTCCTTCCTTCTTTATATATATCTTCTGCTCTGCTTGCCCCACTGCTGCTGCTGCTGCTGCTGGTGCTGCTGCTGCTGCTGCTGCTGGTGATGGTGCTGGTGCTGCTGGTGATGGTGCAGCTGGTGCAGCTGGTGCTGCTGCTGCTGTTCCTGCTTCTGTTTTTGCTGCTGGAGCTGTTGCTGGAGCAGTTTCTGATGCTGTTGCCGGTACTTCTGCTGCTGGTGCTGCTGCTGCTGCTGCTGCTGCTGGTGCTGCTGCTGCCGCTGGTGGTGCTGCTGTTACTGCTGCTGCTCCTTGTTGTGTTCCTTCTGCTGCTGCTGACGCAGTAGAAGCTGCAGCAACGCATGCAAGGTCCTCTCTAAGCGGTTTGTCTGCTGCGTCGTCTTCACCGCAAGCTGCTGCATGCAGTTTGTGGGGTGTATGTACACCTGTCTCTCCTCCTGCCGCTCTTTGGCGTTTCCTGGTTTTGTCTCTGCTCTGCGCTTGATGGGCCCTCAGCTCATTCAGGCCGCTGGCTGCAGCAGCATCTGCTGCTGCTGCAGCATCTGCAGGCAGCGCATGCAGCTGCTGCAGTGCAACCTGAGAGACAGACAACGGAGACAGATACAAAAACAAAAACAAGAGTGTGGGGCCGATGCTTCTATCGCTGGCTCTGCTGGGGGGACCTGACAGCAGCAGTTTGAATAGCAGCAAGCGTTACGCAGACTCACCTGGG